TTAATCAGAAACGGGTGTTCAGTTGACCAGATAAGAGGTTGTGATATAATCGGAAGGTATAAAAAACTCCATTTCATCGTTCAATGTATATTCAACCAACCATGCTATATGGTTCGTAATAAAGACGTCAAAGAATTCGATCAAGCACTAGACAAAGAACCAAAGGAAGTCATTGGGTTTCTTGTAACAAATACATATGTTGCAAGTGAGGTCCTCAAAGCATTTAAAAACAATCAACGAATTTTATTTTGCCACGAGAATGATCTCATCGGCACCATTTATAAAGTCGAAGAAACCAATGAACAAAAATTAAACATTTTACTCGGAGCATTTGAAAATATCATAAATGTCCAAAAAGATATTCTTGAAATTTTCAAAGAAATGGTGGATGAATAGTAACCGGTTATTTTTTTTTTTTAGTTTTTTTTAAAACTTTTTTTAAATATGTAAATTTTTTCGTTTAGATAACGTTCACTTAGCAAATTACATCCATGCGGATATTCATAGTGGTAACATTTTGCAAGACAAACGCACTAATGAAAATGTGCAATCTTATATTGCAGATCTAGGATTGTCTAGAAAGAAAGATGAATGTGTTTTTGATTTTGCAATACTTTGAAATTTAATAAATGTTTAAAGTATTTATTAAATTAAGTGTTAGTTAGCTATATGTGTTAGTTAGTAAGTGGTTTGATTTATAGCTCATCTATAAATTTCTAATAAATTGTTAACACGAGTTTTTTTTATTTAATCAGATACATATTAGTCAGGATCAAAGTGCAAAATTATTATCTAGGTTAAAGTTTATAATTTTAATATATCTTTTATTTAATAATTTACGAAAATTTTCTTTGTTTCGGGCTCGTTTTCTATTAATAACCAATTAGATTTTGTATGATTTACCAAAATTATCCAATCAACCAAAATTATGATCATCTATCAATCAAAATTCTGGTGCAGCGTGAAATTTTACGAAAACAACAGTTTTTTCAAAAATTGCAGATAAAAATATTCCTTGCAAAATTTTACTTTAGAGCAGGCCTAAATATATGTTTGTTTCTTTTATTTATGTATTATCTTCGATTGTTTTGATTTTTGATCGAATGTTTCGGAAGTCATATGACCCGACACTTCGTTTTTTCCATGGCTAGGGTTTCCGGTTATACAGTAACTAGAGATGCTAGTGTAATGAAACTAATTTCATCAATTTCACCAAATTTACTAATAATGGTGAAATTTTTTTACTATTACGGTTGTTAGGTGAATCGGTAGTCTAAACCACGTTGCTGGAAACACAGAGCCAAATCCTTTTTATCAATGATATGAACTTATCTAATCTATTAAAAGAGATCCATTCGATTACGTCTTCGTAATTCATAACTTTAAGTTGTAATTCTTTAATACAATCACCGATATCTTTATTTCCAATCGTCCATCCTTGTGTTGTCTTCCAAAGGCCACATGTTTGATACCAAGCTTTGGAATTGTTATATCGACCGCAATTTACACATTTTCCATTTCCAATTTTTTTATTCCACTCAAATCTTTTCGAACAAAATTCATCAAATGATAACATATATTAATTTGTTGCTGTGTTTTGAGTTAGACCATATACTTTAAAACGTTATCCTTTAACTGTACATAATCTACAAAAACATTACCCTTTAACTGTACATAATCTACAAACTTATTAAGCATGCAAGCATTGAAACAAAGCTATAAATTGTTTAACAGAAAATTGATTAAATGGAACCAACAGGAAAATCTCACATCGGGCATTAAAATTATTATTTACCAGAATATGCCAGATTGAGTCCGGTAAATTTATAATAAAAATTCACGGTGTTCTTGATATGAGTGTTGCAAAGAATAAGAGGAACTGTAAACGTTGCACAACTATTCCGACAGGTGAAGGATCTATCTATAACATTGACAGTAGTGTGGTCAATATTGTAAAATAATTTTTATGAACCGTGTACCAGGTTAGGGATTAGTTTTGTACCATTGACAGTTCCTCCTGTTGGCGCAACGCTCACCTAATAGTCGGACAGCTTCAATTTAAAAGCCAAAACAACACCTAAGTATTTAACTTACTTCTCTTTTAAGCTCCACTTTACATGATGACTGTGTATATTCATATTTACCATTTGCATTATTATATTTATTTAAATACCGTATTCCAACTAACAAAGTTGCTAAAAATTTATCACCCATGTTTTGAATATTAATTAATCTATTAAAATGAATCCATTCGATTACATCTTCATATTTCGTAGTTTTAAGTTGTAATTCTTTAATGTAATTATCGATACCCTTATTTCTACTTGTCCATCCTTGTGCTATTTACTGATGTGTTATATCGTTGCAATTTGCAAATTTTCCATAAACTTCACTTCTTTTAGAACCAAATTCATTAAACACTAACTTATTTTGATTTAATCCACAGATACTTTTAAATTGCACAAGATTTTTAAACTTATAAATAAATAAATTATGTGCAAATTAAGTATAAATACTAATATAAATTGAACTAGTTAATATTTTGAGCTCCATTTTACATTGTATACATGAATGTGTATATTTATATCCACGTTCGCATTATCGTATTCCATCTAATCAAGTTGCTGAAAATATATCGCCAATATTCTGAATATTAATTAATCTATTAAAGGAATCCATTCAATTACATTTTCATAAGACGTGCCTTTTAAGTTGAAATTTTTAATGCAATTATCGATATCCTTATTCCATTTGTCATTCTTATGTTGTTTCTGAGTGTCACACGTTTGACACCAAACGGATGAAGTGTTATGTCACTTGCAATTTGCACATTCTCCATACAATTCGTACCTTTCAGAACAAACACTATCATTTATTCTGTAGATGTATTTTGAATTTATCCATAGACACATTTACTCACTAATTGGCTCTTTGATTGATTCTTTGATTGAATAACGCACATGATTTTAAATTTTAGAAATATAAAATAATATATAGTTATTGGGTGCGAAGCAGCCAATAAGTGTACATTATTGGATAGTTAATATGACCATGTGAAGTTTTTTCTGTGACATTTTGCAAAACTGATTACGTAATTTCATGTAAAAAAATATCATGGCAAAAAAAATTCACATGATCATATGAAATGTTGAATAACTCGAGTTATTTGGCAAGCACTATCATAGTAAGCTGCCGGATAAGGAGAAGTCATTGATATGTAAACAGGTTGAAAGTTTTACCTGCAGATCATTAAAAATCACTTGACTATTAAAAAGAGTTCTAACGAACTGGAGGAAACGTACCCAATCCAAACTTAATCCCACACCTGGTGTGCTACACATAAAAAATCATTTCACAATGGTGGGTCACTTAACCACCAATGTTATAAATATAATCCTTCACAGTTTGGATCAGGTACGTACGTTTCTTCCTGTTGCTCTAACGTTATTATTGCTTTACGTAATAGATTTATAATAACGCACGTAAAAAAATAGCAACAGTAGTAGTAGTGAATCAGAAATCAGATTTTTTTAACGATCAGCCAACTACAATAAAATAATAAATAATAGTATACTTCATTTAACGTATTTATTAAATTTCGTGATTTAGTCAATATTTTAAGCACCACTTTATATGATGGTATACGTGACTGCGTATATTTATATTCATTATCTACATATTCATGTTTTGTATATCGTTTTCTATCAAACCAAGTTGCTAAAAATTTATCATCATCGTTTTGAATATTAACTAGATTATTAAAAGGGATTCATTCGATTACACTATAATAGTTGAAACTCTTTAATACAATCATCGGTATCTTATTTCCACTCGTCCATCCTTGAGTTGTCCACTGAGGGTCACATGTTTGACACCAAGCGGTAAAGTGTTATATCACTTGCACTTTGCACATTTTCCATAATTTTTATCTCTGTTAGAAACTAAATTCATCAAATACTAACGCATATTTATTTGTTTCGTTATTTTGAGTTAGCCCGCCCGTATACTTTAAATTCGTCATTCTTTAACTGTACATAATTTACAAACTTATTATAAATATGAGAAATTTTATTTTCACCCGGGTTAAAAATCACCCGAAATATTACTAATTTTAGTTACGTAAATGACATTATAATTTATCGGGTGATTTTAACCCAGGTGAAAATAGAATTTCCCTAAATATAAATCTAAATTAAAGTTATATATATATATATGTGATGCCTCAGATCAAATGTCAGCACATAATGATCATTTGACCAGAATCCAGAATTAACATATGGGGCTTTTGCTAACAAAATGACCCTCCGAGCTATTGTTACACAAGATTTTAATTAGTAAAATCATAACAAATCTATTTTTAGTAAAAAAAAATCATAGCAAAGGCCCCATATCAGCCTAATCTACTATCAAAAATTCATGCCAACTTACCGCTAATTTTCCACAATAACTTACCACGTTCATCTATAGCCTGATCCTGGCCCTAACTCTGAACCTATCCCAGGCCAGAGCGACATTTGACCAGGGTTGTAAAATTACGGTAATTTATGGTAAAAATTGGCACGTGCCAGTGGCGAAATGAAGTAGACATTACCATTACATTCAAATATTCATATATAATTTAATCATGTAATTAAAAGTTTTTGCATTTACTACATAGAACACATCCGCATTTTCTTGAGCATAATGAATTCCTTTTTCAGCAATGATTTCATTTATTCGTTTGGAAACTCCAGACTTCCAAGCTAACATGATTTGGTGCCGCAATTTGTTTTTCAGCACCGATAGGTTTCTTGTCGAGTGTCTTGACTTGAACAAATATTATTATTCGTAAAGCAAATGTTACAAAAATTATACGTATAATTAATAATAATAATAAGAATAATAATAATAATAATATTATTATTATTATTACTTACTCAAGAAACATATTTGGCAGATACTCACTAATACTATAAGCTCGGCCATCTTGAAAATTGTAGGTTTGAGGTTTGTGATTATTATTAGTCGATCCGCTATTGTTACAAGTTGGAATGTAAGGTTTTGTCTAGCACCTGCTTCTCTTAACAAAAGTATGTTTTTAGTGGTACAACGTTGAGATAAGGATAATCAAGGGTGCACAGTGGTTCAAGTACATTTGCTGAGTACCAATTGTTGAGTACCAAATGTTTTTTTAATAAATTCATAGTTTTAAAAGAATTGATAGGTCGAACTAATTCAATTTAAATTTTGTTTAACTACATAAATTTATTTATTAAAGTTAATATAACACACATACTCGAACGTGATTTAGAAAACCTTCAGAAACAATAGGGCGCATTAGTGGAACTCTTTTAGAAATACATCATTCATTAATCACATTCTTAACTATCTGCTGGGGAATATAGCAGTATCTAACC